GGTCAAAGGCCAACCAGAGACACATTCAGCTCACCTGCTGCTGAGAATGAAGACACACAGACACTTCTGAGACTGGAAGTAAACTGAAAACTGGAAACAAACCAAAGACAAGAAATTCCCCAAAGATAGGAAGAGAACCAAAGACAGGAAACAAACTAATGACAAGAAATAAACCAAAGACAAGAAATAAACCAAAGATAGGAAACAAACCAAAGATAGGAAGAGAACCAAAGACAGGAAACAAACCAAAGACAAGAAACAAACCAAAGACAGGAAACAAACCAAAGATAGGAAGAGAACCAAAGACAGGAAACAAACCAAAGACAAGAAACAAACCAAAGATAGGAAACAAACCAAAGACAGAAAACAAACCAAAGATAGGAAGAGAACCAAAGACAGAAAACAACCCAAAGATAGGAAGAGAACCAAAAACAGGAAACAAACCAAAAACAAGAAAGGATCCAAGGACAGGAAACAAACTAAAGACAAGAAACGAACCAAAGACAGGAAACAAACCAAAGACAAGAAACAAACCAAATACAAGAAATCATCCAAGGACAGGAAACAAACTAAAGACAAGAAACGAACCAAAGACAGGAAACAAACCAAAGACAAGAAACAAACCCAAGACAATAAAGGAACCAAAGACAATAAACAAGCCCAAGACAAGAAACGAACCAAAGACAAGAAACAAACCAAAGACAAGAAATGAACTAAAGACAAGAAACAAACCATCCATCCATTTTCTTTACCCGCTTGTTCCATTTTGGGTCACGGGGGTCGCCGGTGCCCATGTCCAGCAATCACTGTACGAGGAGCGGGGTACACCCTGGACGGGTCGCAAGTCCATCACAGGGACACATAGAGACAAACGAGACAAACAACCATTCACTCTCTCACTCACACCTAGGGACAATTTAGAGTTACCAGTCAGCCTAACATGCATGTTTTTGGTCTGTGGGAGGAAACCGGAGTACCCGGAGAAAACCCACGCATGCACGGAGAGAACATGCAAACTCCACCCAGAAAGGCCCCTGGACCGGGGTTTGAACCAAGGACCTGCTCGCTGAGAGGCAGCAGCTCTACCAGTTGCGCCACCGTGCTGCCCAAGAAACAAACCAAAGACAGGAAACAAATCCAAGACAATAAAGGAACCAAAGACAAGAATCGAACCAAAGACAAGAATCGAACCAAAGACAAGAAAGGAACCAAAGACAAAAAACAAACCAAAGACAAGAATCGAACCAAAGACAAGAATCGAACCAAAGACAAGAATCGAACCAAAGACAAGAAATAAACCAAAGACAAGAAACAAACCAAAAACAGGAAACAAACCCAAGACAATAAAGGAACCAAAGACAAGAATCGAACCAAAGACAAGAAACAAACCAAAGACGGGAAACAAACCCAAGACAATAAAGGAACCAAAGACAAGAATCGAACCAAAGACAAGAAACAAACCAAAGACAGGAAACAAACCAAA